TAAGAATGTTTTTCACATGCCCTTGTTTTTTCTTAAGAACTATTGGTATAGCAGTTTGAGATTAATACGTAGTTAGTAGATTTGTCTAAACTATTAAATAAAAGTGTTTGATAATTTTTTTCCTCCAAAAACTACTATAGGATATTCGGTAAAATCTTTTACTAACAGTTAGTAGTTAAGAAACAATCTACTAACAAATTAAAAAAGTTTCTGAGAGCAGCTTTTTGCCCTAAATTGCTCAAAAATTGGGATTTTTAAATGACAATGACAAATTTACCCATCAAATAATCGTGTAAATACAATTTTGAGCGAATTGCTAATTTCTACATTTTTTTCGTTAAATATGATTAAAAAATATTCGGAGTAGTCGGCTGTGTCTTCGTAAACACAATTCATAAATTTGGGAGGTAGCTAGTCGGCAGATTCATTAAAATTAATTAATAGAAAACTTTGTAATTTTTACTTTATATTTAAAATTTTAAAATTAATTTTTATTACAGAATAAAAAAATAAATATTTCATTTATAAATGCATAATAATAACAGCAACAATAATACACTAATTCATTTTGTGTTAAGAACTTATAAAAAACATAATCAATTATTTTTAAATATGTCATTGTGATTTAATATAAAATAAGAATCACTGAATATTATATAATCGAATATTTATTAAAATCAACATCTTCTACCTAATATCTACTACTGATTACTACCATAAGCCCTATATTAATGACATTAATATGCTAACACAAGCTTTATACATTATACTTGCAAAAAAATCTTAACTATTTATCTTTTTATTTTCAATTATTAAAATTTATTTTTTTGGATAAAAAAATAAGTATTTTTAATAAATATGAATAAATTTTAATTATTAAAAATAAAAAGATAAATTATTAAAATTTCATATAAATATAATAGATAAAAGTTATATATATAGATAGATCCTTCCACTAACAATATATGACTTGAATCTATTTGCAGACCTGCAAAGAGGCAGAGAGCGGAGCCAAAGGGCCCAAAACCCTCAGAATGTGTCTTTACTCCCTTTGCAAGAAACCTACGTTGTCATTGCGGCTTCTCCGCTGATCTGTTTCATCAATGGCTTCTCTTCTTGGCGATTGCTACTATCGAGAACGCTGGATGCCGCAAAAGTTTGGTGGAAGAATAAAGACAACTCTCTGGCCAAAACCCCTTTTTACCTCTGTCCAAAGGAGCACGAAGAACAGATTCAAAAAATAAGGTTCATTTTAGTCGTAATTTTTACAGTTAAGACGGAATTTTAAGTAATGCTTTTATACAGAATATGAATGATAATTGCAAATACCCGACAGAAGAAGGACTGTTTAGCGTTGTTATTTGCAAAGCATAAGTTCAGGCAGGAAAATGTCTGAAATTCCAGTAAAATGAGATCCTTAGCAAGAATTCAAACATTATAACTTCATAGTCTTTTTCATAATCCAGTCTCGCTGACTTCTCTCAACATCCAGTCCAATTCCAGACCAGGTAATTATCGTGGAGCTCATTTTGCTGCATATCTATGATTTCTGGTACATTCAAATCTGGACAACTTGTAATTGTTGTTGTATATATCAACATGTCAAAATCAATTGAAAAACACACATTATCTAGTTTTGATTTCATTGAATGAGAGTACAAAGGGGTACTCCAACCCTTACACCACAGTATAAATGCTTCAGCAGGCCACTGCAAAGACATCATCACAGAATCCAGAGACAGTTAGATACTCATCATGCCCTTTAAAGTGCTCAGCCAATCGATTCAAGAATCCATCACTAAATGTTTCAGTGTCATAGGCGCTTGGTTGTGTTGCAGCCACATTCATTCTTCTACAGTCACTTGGAAACCCTATCTGAACACATTTAAAATGCCAAAAATTTTATTTCCAAATTAGAATTCTATCAAAAGGGGAAAGAAAAATAGAACAGTAGCTTAGGGCACCTCTTTAATTGGTTGTGTTTTGATTGAAGCGTAGAAATGATAATAGCTTCCTTCTCTGAACCTTGGAAACCATCAACAATTGAGATTTCTACATCCTTGTAAAATAGCAATCTCAGCTTCATCTTCATTGAGTGTGCCATCTTGTTTATCCTTTTTTCTTCAATGTCACAACTGAAGCATATCAAACGTGAATTCACCTTTTACAAATTTACAAAATAAAGTTGTACAGAGCAAAATTTGCTAGAGTAACTTGGGGGACCTCCCTAATCCAGAATTAAGATGTTTCTTGTTAAGGTAGGATGTAAATTTACTCTTACAGTTGGGCACACCAAATTGTTAGAAAAGAAAAGAAAAGAAAAGAAATGTTTATTCCTGCTACAATAGGCACAAGTAGAAGACCTTAATAGTTAGTTTAGCACTTTACCAAGCAACATAACTAGATCACTATCCATTTCTCAACAAAGACAAATAGGGTAGGTTGTTATTTACACCAAAGCCAAAAGAATCAAACCAGACCAAATCAAGATTACTAAATAAATACACACCTGAGAGGAATCAAGATAGATAGGAGTTAAAGGTACCGGTGAACATGGACGATCTTTCTCCGAATATAGAAGGAACTAGATCGGCAGCCCACTGTTGATTGTATCTGGGTGGCCATCCTTCATCCTATAATACGTGAGCTGTACAGAAATTAATTTGGATTATTGTTTTCATATAAGCTTAGGTCAGTAAATGATCGTAATAAATTTGATTACAATGATCATAGACCTGATTTTATCTCCATATTGGTTCTTCCCAATCCTTTCCTCTCAGGGAAGCTGAAGATTGTCTCCTGCAAGGATACATCTTGACCTTCAAAACATGAATTAAGTGTGGCAGGTGCACCTAATATCAACTTTTCAGGGGAAAAGCTTTATATGTATTTTCAGCACATGATTACCTCTAGTAGAGCTATCCAGAATGCTATTTCAAGCATCTGAGCAGCTTCATCAATTATAACCAAACCCAATAAAGTTCTCTACTGTTTGCAAGAAAATGCACCAGCACTACAGCATTTTTGCCATTTAGCTACGCTTTTTTTTACCTACGCTCACTATTTCATAGGTATAAGGTTCTATTAGCTATGATTTATAAT